AGGTACTATGTGATTTGGCCACTTTATTGTTACATGCAGCAGGTCCATGCTTTTACCTTCAAAAACCTATGTTGGGCAGCTAGTACCCAGGCAGGAATCCTTTGGAGACATGGTATCCTGACTCTCTTGAAGAAACATAACAGAACTCATGCTTTTTTGTTGTTGCTGTTAAAATGCAATTAAAAGTGGTGCCAACACCCACTTTTAATATAAGGTGCGATGTCCACACCTCAACTGGAAGGTTTGGGTTCCATGTTCTCCTAGCAAATAATTTCGGTCGTATCTCCCACCTTACAAATAGGGGTCTTAATGATCAGGCATATAAGTAACTAGGATTGGTGGACTTCCTGTCCCCTGTACAGCAAAGAGGAGTAAGAATTATAGATAATGACATTGTAATCCAGGTGCTATGGTGATCAGCAAGAAAGTGGTACTTGTAGGCTTCGGCCCTTTCTTCTTGCAGAACTCTAATAATTAATGAGTGAAAAGTAGTCAATGCTCACTGAATTTTTCAGGCTGTTACATTCCCCATTTCTGGGGGTTAGAATGCCCTGAACATTTCGTGCTGTATCGGGTGTGTATGCGTGTGTGTATGCGTATTTGGCATGAAAGCACTACTGCCTCCTCTTCAGCTGTGTTTCAGGGGAAACCATCCATTGTATTTTTGTGCCTAATCCACTCTGCATGCTTTGAAAATATCTAACAGATTGGGTTCCTCAAGTGCCTGTAGATGGAGAATAGTCTGCTTTCCCAACATTCCCCTTACTTTAGACAGAACAAAGGTATTGGGTTGTTAAATTTGCCTGTGTCTCCAGAACTGCATAGTCCTACAGGAAGGGATCTAATCAAGCTGGGCAGCAGATGAACAACTGGCTTTTGGATCACCAATCCAGGCTCAGGCAATGCAATTCCACTCAAGTTATGCTCTGTAGATGCTTTAACTCTTTTATTGGCTTCAGCCCTATGATGGTATCTATGGCAGATGTGATTTCAAGCAGATATTGATGTGAAAAGGTGAAAAGGTTGGAAGATGTTCAAGTAGCTGGCTTAAACATTTCACCTGGAAAAGCGCATTCTCTCTTGGCACAAGAGCATAAGCTTGAGTTGTGCCTTTCTTGGTCCTAAAACTTAAAGAACCTCTAAAGCCTGCCAAGCTTCTCATAAAATATTGAAAAGAATGAAAGGATGACCTGACTTTCTGTCACATAAAAAAGTCCTCTGAAGGCAGAGAAGTCTTTTCATTTTGAGAGAGAAAAAAAAAGATGGAAGAATAAGAGAAATTCTAGAGCTAACTTCTCTAAGGGAACAGAAATAAATGTCATAAAGAAGTGGTAGGGGACCTCTGCAAGTAGGGATGGGTCTTCTCCCACCTTCTATTTGAATGAATGTTAGGCTCAGTAGTGAATAATCTCTGAAGGATGTATCCAGTGTGTCTCAGATCTTCTTTCTCTGAGCTGCCTTCTTAGAAAAAAGTGTTTCCTGTTATTTTTCCCAGACTTCTTCCCTATAACTGTATACTTCTTTAGTTTTTGCTGTTACTCTCCAAGTATTACCTTTACCCTTCTTCACATCCAATCCTTTCCTGAATAAAACCACTCAAGCTGAATGCTTTCAGTCCTCTTGTAAAAGTCTTTATCAACCCTTAACTTCACAGAACAGCAAGTTTTCAGCCACTCGCACTTTTCAGTTTCTTAAACGGCACCCAGATTCCATTCCCCACCCATTTTCCCATTTAAGCAGGGTCTGCTTCCAACAGCAATAAAGACTCTGGAAAAGAAAGGTCTTGTTTTATTTCACTCAGGCTTAGACAGTTCTGAATTTCTAGAAAATACTGAGGTGCTATATAAAAAATCTTCATAAGCAGAAGAAGGAAAGCTTTAAAAAAAGGTATTTTCTCATAGAATATATTGAATTTTAGGAGGTGAGTTTTTTTGCAGAAAAAGAACTTCAGGCAAGCTGAATGAGTGGACTGTCTGCCACAACCAAAAATGTGGGTCTTCCTTGGGTCCTACGTGATAACTTGGGTGCTATGTGATAAACGTCTGGCTGTCTCAAACAATGCTAGTCACAAGTAAATTAAGCCTGCAGGGATCAGGTTCAGCACCTGAATTTAAGATCCTAAGCACAGATACCTTGGTGTGAGCTATGTCTCCAAGCCACTACCACAGGTCTTGTGAGTGGAGCTAGTGGAGCATACTAACTTACCCAGCTGACCAAATGGAAGCATCTGCTTCAGGGTGCAAACTCCTTTGAGTATACTGGGTTAACTTCAGTTGCCCAAATAGGCATCTTGTGCTACTTAAGTTGTCCTGGCTAGTCCTGCCTGGCCTCCAGTCGTCTGTCCAGACAGAAGTAACACTGCTGCATCCGAAGGCCCTCTTTCAACGCATGAAAGCACAAGGTTCAAATGGCTCCTGTGGAGGAGCCTGAATCACATCTCCACTGTCTGCAACAGAAAGTTAAGATGCTTCACTCACATTCTCATAGCTAAATTTCTGTGCTTGAAGCCAAAGCTGAACTCCACTCTAGGGAACTGCCTTTGAAATGCAGTGTACAGAGAAAAGAACTAACCCCCTTTTAGAGTGGAAACATTAAAGACACTCTCAAATACCTTGGGAACTACAGAGTAGAGATAATTCATTTTTGTACTTATTTCTCAGACTCAAAACCCCATTTTGAAATGTTGGGGACAAGCAGTAAGTCTCTGGTAAGGCTTCTGGAGTCTTTCTCACCTCTGTTTCTCACAACATCCTGGCTAGACCTTCTCTGAGTTTCCCTGAGACCTCTCCAGACAGTGCTCCCTGGTTCCCACCTCACCTGTAGGTATTCCTATTACTCCCTACAGCAATATCGCCTTCCTACAAAGTGTCACACAAAAAAATAAAGGCCTGGTTTGCTTGACAAAAAGCAGCGCTTTTAACAAGTACCTGTGCTCACAAAGGAAGACTACCTCAGCTTCCCGAAGACTGACTGAATACTTACTGTTTTCCTCTCAAATAGCCTAGATCTTAGGTGGATATTCCAAGCAACACTTCAAGTACTGCTGTTGACCAAGAAAGTAGTTAAGAACAACGGCATTAGTTCAAATATCATTTTGTTTTACAGGTGATTTACTTCAGTACCATACCACACTAAACACCAGCCACACCTTCACAAGTTGGTTTACTGACAGCAGCTGGAGAGAATACAGTGAAAGAGACAAATGGCAGTGCAGAACTGAAAATCTTTTAAAATTCCAGGTGGTCTTCTTCAATCTTTGCCTTTTGTCATCTTTCATTCATTTTGGATGATAGCGACCTTGCTAAGTACACCAGGGATACATTGCTAAGTGCAACCACAAAGCCAGCTAGGAGTATTTTTTTTGGATATTAAAAGATCCCTAAAACCATTTATTTAGGAAATCGGACAGTGAGGATTAGCCAGTATCACCCTTGGTTAAATGCCTGAGACTACATATTTAAATAAACAGCAATCTCTAAAGAGAATTAGTATTTTGGGGTCCTTTGTGTATTATGTAACATAAATGACGTGATACACTAAGTCACAAGATACAGTAAAAGCACATAAGAAAGCAATGCCACTCTTTGAGTGCCAGGACTTCACTTTAGTTTATTACTAAACATCCGTAACATGATTCTTTCTTTCAAAGGGTTCATAGTCCACTCCTAGACTAAACTTTTATTGCTTTTACAGTAGCACAGTTCCTAAGGAAATTAATTTATGCTATTTAACTTAAGTCTTACTTTTGCTGGCTTTCAGATTTTTTTTTAAAGTAGTTTAATCTCCTATCATCTCTTATTTTTCTCTAATTTCATCTTAAATAGCTGACCAAATCAGAACTTATCCCACAAATTATCTGAGTGTGCCCAGCCCTGCCATTTTTTCTGCTCCCTTCTGCTTTATTTTTGATCTGCCACAACCCTTGAGAGGAAAAAGCCAAGCAAGATGCAAACCCCAGCAAACAAATCCTTCCTCAGGGTGTGGGGCATTCAGCTAACCTGAGTAAGCTGAGCAAAATCATGGAGATGGCTCAAAAACCTCCGGAGATGTGATTTTTCTGTCATTTTTGCACTAGTGAAGTGGCGTTTAAAAGCATTCTGCTGAAGAAAGGAGCAATGCTTCCATCGCTTTAACCTATCGGGGGCTCAGAAATGGGAACACGCAGTGAACAGCCGGGCACCTGCTGTGGTGCCCGGGGCTGGGCAACAGCCTCGGGGCGGGGGGACGCCGGAGCCCTGCAAACAGCTCGCAAGCGCTGGAGCTGCGGGTTTCCATAGCCAGACCGGAGCACGGCACAGAGCCCGCTTCGCCCTAAGGCCACGGGGACTGCTCCCGATGCTTCCCTTCCCGCGGGGCTGGGCGGCCAGGGCAGGGCAGGGCAGGGCAGGGCGGCAGCCGCCCCGCAGACCCCGCCGTTGCCGCGGCAACCTGCGGGCGGGCGGCCTCAGACCCAACGGCTGCCCGGGGTCCCCGGCCGGGCCCGAGGGAGGGAGGAGGTCGTTGATATGCGCGACGCCTCGCCACCGCGCCGGGGGTGCGAGGGCAGACAAAGGCGGGCTTCATCTAGAGGCCGAGCCGCGCACAGAAGTCGCTCTTGTACTGGGCTGCAGATGTTCGGAGGGGCAAGGCGAAGCGAGCGGCCGCCCTCCCCCCTGCCGGGGAGGGGAAGGGAGGAGCAGGGTGGGGGGAATGCGGCGCTGAGAGCCCAGCGCGTTTGGTTGAGCTTCCCCCAACGCAGCGACTCCGGCGGCGGCGAGTGGGTGCCCCGAGCATTGCGCTGCCCTCTGCCCCAGGCCCGCGGAGGGAAGGCCTCTTTCACCGGGAGGGAGGGACGAGCGAAGTCCTGCTCGGCGCCGCGGAGGAGCCTGTCAGGGCGCATGGTTTGCGCTGTCGCCCGCAGGTGTCACCGGGGATGTAGGATGCCTGCCTCCTGGAGTTGGGACCGGTTTAAATAAAATACTAAAAACATCTAAGGGTATTAGCTATTACTTGGTTTAGAAACAAGATGAGGTGGTTTGGGTATTTTATTTCTTGCTTCCCCTTTCCCCCCACAAGTGGCCAAAAGCCAAAACTCTCCTAGTGAATGCCTCTCCCGGAGTGGGAAAAGCTGCCTTGTTTCATTAATGTTACTCCTTTTCCCCAAGAAGAGAAGGAAAAGTATTCCCATTATTTTAGCTCTGGAGAAGCCTCAAGTATTTATAGAGTCATGGAAGATGTACTGAGCCCAGCCTTATTTTCTCCCCCCACTTTGTTACCACCAGATATCAAAGGAGAAGAGGGGAAGAGAGAGCAGAAAAAAGCAATCACCTGAGAAGTTGGATACGGTGCTATAGGGCACCACGGGTACACCTCTACTGTGAAGGAAAGCAAATTGCAGAGGTAACCTCTGCAGTAGCCTCTTTTTGAACCTCGCCTTGATTAGTACACTGATCCACCCAACACTGAAACACGTTTGTCCAGAGCATGAGCAGAGCAGTTCTGGGAGCATTTGTAGCACGGAAGAATCCTGTATTCAGAAAATCATATGGTTGTGCACAAAGATGTTAAAATCTCACTCTACTGTGGATTATATGTAATTCTCTCCATAGGCACAAAAATAGCAGTAGCTATAAACCAAATAGTAGGTAAGCACTTTTTTTTCAGATATCTGCTTTCCTGTTTCCTGTTTCTACACTGTTTTAAAAATAATAGTTTGCTGTAAGGAAAATACACAGATCTCTGTTACACTCATATAAACACATCAACATTCCCACCAGTAAATGTGCGTGTACTAATTGTAATCATGAAAGCATTCTGATGAATGATATATAGTCATTTAGGTGTTTTAGGGCATTACTTTTTTTCTCACTATGACGGTATGAGTTCTGTTTTTTCTTTAGAAGTACTCAGTCTTGCTGGTAGCCTTGCTGCGTTGCAGATTTGCTGAGTGACTGAGAGCCTGTTTTTAAAAGGATTATTTTTCATGTTTGGGAAAAATGCTGCTGCAAGTTTTAAAAAGATGCTACTTCTTTTTTTGACCTTTGTTCCATTTACACCTTTCTGCGCACAGCTTTTGTGATTGTAATCTGTTATTCCGATCAAGTTTGTCATAGTCTTTATAATGAAGCTAGACATGCATTTAGAAAATGGCCTAGCAAGGACATTTGGATGTGGTTCTAAGTAGAAGGAACACGGTGATCACAAGCGGTACTTGGGCAAGGAAAGCACAGTGGTTAATGGTATTGAGACCCAGCCCATGTATTTATTTCACAGTCCCTGCTTAAGTGTAAGGAACTTTTAGACTGAATTATTTAATAGACTGCCAGGTCTGAAAGTGAAGTCAGAACTTGTGAGGGAGAATCCACTGTTCACAGCACAGCACTTTTATTTAACACTTAATTAGGAAGCTGTGTACAGAGAAGCTTTTGAGGTATTGTTGTCGTTAGAAACTGAGCCCTAGCCACTGGGGTTATGGTCAGACTGCCATCTCCATCCCCACCTCCCTTCCCTGCCTTCCTCTTGCTCCACTGGCTGACCTTGCTGTGCTTGGCTGAGCTGAACCTTGAGGTGCTGCAGTGTTTTATATTGCTGGTCCCCAGCATTTAATGTGCGAGCATGCAAGGAATGGTGCCATCCTCAGGTACCAACAGTGTTTTCCTTTTCTGAAAACCTGCCAGCTGTCATTTAATATCACTTGAGTATCATGTAACAAATGTAGAAGCTATCTGACAGTGAGAACATCTCTTTTCCTACTGATCTAGGCTGGAACACAGCAAAGTTTCCATTTACTTCTAGCTATTGTGAAAAGAAAGCTCTATTGACCTATTTTGACACTTAGCCAGGGAGGTGGCTACATCAGTCAGAAGCTGACAATTTTTGTTTCCAAACTCAACCACCAGAATTTTAACACTGTGCTTTGTTTGAACTGAAAGACTGTCATTTCAGTGCCTTTTACTCACCATTGATCTCAAGATTATGTATTTTACATGGTATTTTTGAGCCATACTATTAGCCATCATTATAATATTCTCCATGCAAAATTATTGTTTGTGTAAGCCTGAGGAGATTTCCAGTGAATTTTCACATTACAGAGTGGCACTGAACAATCTTTTGTGCAAAGGTATCACAGGTGTCCTTGTTTTTATCCTCTTCTTCACAGGGAGACTGATCCTTGACCGCACAAGGCATTTGAAGTTCTGCAGCTGATTTTTGCGAGACCAGAAACAGGTCTCCTAATTCTGCCTGTCACTGAGCATCTCCCAGATTGGGAGCCAAAGGCGTACAGGAAGTGGTGGGATCAGAGCCTGAATTAATGCTACTGGGAATAATTGATCTTCAGAATGATTTCCACAGGCACAGCTTCCAAAGGTGCTGAGTGCTGATACATAGCAGCACAATACTGGCTTTGCAGACCCGTGAAGGAGTGGCCACTCTAAGCAACAAAGCATAGGAATTTTTTTTTGCAGAGAACAATGCATTATCAGAACATTACAGGCTTTCATCTGGACTGTCAGTAGGTTGAACTGGATCACTGCTGGCACACTGAGGGACAGCCTGAGTTTTCTATGCATTATTTCTGCCAGGCAGGATTCCTTCAGGTGCACCTAGCGGCATTTTTCTGTTGTTGTGAGAAGAGAAATTTGAGCCAGGTTGTTGGCAACAGTGACAGCAGGGGATTTTTTACCCAAAAGGTATAAATGTCAATTAGGTACTGAAGCTCTGCTCACTATCAATCAGTCGAAAATCTCCTTCTGCCTGATGCTGCCTTGCCTCAGGGCCTAGAGCAACAATTGGGCATGCTTCATGCTTCAGTGGGACTGTGGTCCCTCAGCCCAGAAACCTGTGCTGAGATGCTCTTGTCAGGGAGGGAGCTCTTTAAACTTTACATTCATTACCCGTTTTGAGACCCATACCGCATTCAGTTTGAATATGTAACTAAGTCTTGGATTAGAGGATGGGCATAACCTTTGTGCATAGCATTAAACATAGGTGAATATTTCAATGGGGATGGGCAGCAGAATCTATAGTCTCTACCTTCAGTACCTACAAAACCGCTGTTTATGGCTGATCCAAATGTAAGTTAAGCAAAGTATGAAAAGTATCATTTATTTTTAAGTCAAGTCAGTTACTGAACAGTGTGAGATGACAGTAATTATTTTTAACATTACTTAAAAACCTGTATTTTAAAGAAAATGTAGGAGTTCAAATATGTTTGACATTTGTGAAAGTCAGAAGAAATACTGCTGATTGATTGACAAAAGCAGCAGTTTCACAAAGTAATCTTCAAGCACAGTATCTAAAAACCACTAAACCACTGTGATTATCTGAAATAAATCTAAGCAGAGGGATATAAAGTTAGAGTGAAAAAAAAACTTTCATGGAGATGTGGTGAAGGTACCCACTGATGTAAATTCTGGCGAGATAAAAGATGGTAAATAGAGTAAGAAAATGCTTACAATTTCAGATAGCCCTTTTTCTGCAACAAACTCGCAGTCTGTGTGTTGCCTTTCACTTTCATGGTCAGAACTGGGCTTTTTCAAAAGAACATCATTCTACTACAGACACTGTTCTCAATAAATGTCTTCCACACATTAACTGTAGCTGTTCTCAATGTGATTTTAAACAAGTAAAGCTCTTTCCATGCTTTGATGTTTTGGCAGACTGTGAAGGCGCGTGGTTATATTCCTCCCTTTATCTAAAGAAACAGGTAGCAAAGAAGCTAAAGCGCAAGCAAGGCACACTAAATTTGGGTCTGCCTTCTTGATAAGCTTTGTCCTTGGCTATTAAACATTCAGTGACCACCAGGATGTTGGAGATACCTCATACACATTACGGAAATCAGCAGTGTTACCAGAGTTGCAGTTCACAACTCTAGAAATGCTTGGAACCTAATCTGCTAATTTTTTCAAAGAGATGGCAAACTCATTCTTATCACTTCAGATTACCCTACAGTGTTTTTAAGTGTAACCCTTTAACATGACTGACAGTTAAGCTTTCTAAGCTCCTTGGATGTCATTGCTTGTTTGATTTGTAGAAGAATTATTAACATTCCTCATTTTGAGTGCAAAACCTTGTCTGTTGGAGAGAAACTCTAATTTGTATTTTCCTGTAAGTCCTCTCTTTAGGGCAGTTGGGTTGCTGTCAGTTAGCACCTTCTTCCCATGAAACTAGGCCTTCTCATGAATCATACTCCCATACACCCAGTTCATCTTAACATCTTTGCCTGTCTGTTCACAGAGGGAACTGAACATCTTGCTGTCTTCAGGCTCATATTCAGTCTTCATTTGATGAACCAGAGAGCAAAAAAGGAAGATCTGCTTCCTCTCTCCAAAGAAGATGTGAAATTGCTTCTTCAGTGCTGTCTTGTTGAGGTACCTATTTTGATGTTTAATGCAGAACTCCTTTTTCCTAACTTACATATTCTCCAAACAGGATTTATTGCTTTAAACCCTGTTGAGAGCCTTTCCAGAGCAGTTGACCTACATATCGTGACACAAATGGAAATAAGGGAAGATCGTGACCATACTTCTCTCTGCGAGCCAGCAAGGCAGGACAGCCACAAAAAGAGAGCTCCATCATAACCATTTTGTAGCATATATTGGCATGTGGCAGCATTCTTCTTTCAGAGCTCTGGCTAGAGTGATTAAATGCTCATTGCAGTTTTGTGTCTCTCAAATACAACTAAACCTTCAGAAATCTGATTATGGCAGTAACTGGGAAGTTGACAGGAAAGCAACGGAGCTTGCAAAGGTTAATTTGGATGAAAAAACTTGTCATGATTCCATGATACAGAGCAATTTTTTCTAATGTGCATGGAGTGGGCATGTGGTGGAAGGAAGGAAACTAAGAAAAGATGTCTTTTGAGCAAACAGATTTGATCATGAGAAATGTTTGTCTCCAAGTTTGGGTTTTGTTTAAAGTAAATATCTTCCTGTCAAGGCAGGCTTCACAAATGAGCAAGTAATTTTTAGGCTCTAGAGTAATGTCATTTTCTGACACTAACGAATCTTTATCTCTAATGCATACACACTGCTCAGATTCTTTTTTGTGATATTCAGGACTAGAGGAAGCCTACTGTAATGCATGAAATTGTTAGGATTTCACTGGAATACATGAGAACATAACTTTGCCAGCTTAATTACCTGTACTGCATCAGATAGTGTGTACACTCTGTATTTTCTGACTTTGGAGTAAAGAACTGCTGTAATCACCCCAAACCTTTTATAACAGATGTTCTGAAAGTGCTTGTGAGACAGGCTGGAAATTTCTCCATACAGTCCTGGGTTTCACGTTACAGGAGCTTGTCTTTTATTCTATGAGAAGGGTGCACTGAAAGCCTGCAGTGAATTATTAACCACATCAGTGAGCTGGGGTTTGTATAGCTTAATTTATGTTGAGTATATCCATATCCAGAGGTGGCATCATGGAATTAAATGGCCTTGCTCTTCTGTAAGGAGACACAGAGCTTTGAGTAAAACTACCAGAAGCAGTTCCAGGAGGTAAGATTTTTGGAAAGATATACTAGAAAAAGCATGTAATAATGACATGAGATGTGACAATCAGGAGTAAAGCTGGTTGCTTTTGTTGTGTTCTTCATTTTAATAGAAAGCAGTATTGAATATTAGCTTACACATTTACATGATCAGATACGTGAGTAAAACCTTATAAAATAATAATAAAACCCCCCTCAAAACTGAGATTTAGCTGAAGTGAAAGCTGCAGCTTCTGTAAACTATGGCAAAGTAAAATTTGGGTGAGTTGCTTGAGCTAGGCAGGCTCTTCCTAGACCTCATTCATATATCCTTCAGACAGGAATGCAAAGGTGTCATTATTTCTCTTTAGAGCAGTCAAGATCTCAGAACGATCTCTCCAAGGACCTTTCACTTTTGGGAGAGAGTGGGGTAATTTGTCTGAATTAACATGAACATCTCTTCTTGCCAAGACAGTTTCTGAAGCTCCAAGACAAGAAATTAAACTGGGGTTCAGCAGATTAAAGGTCATGTCCTTATATAAGCACCCAAAACAGGCAAGAAAAAATGTGATTCAGTTAGTTTCTGTGATTTAAGTTAGCTGCCAGATTGTACTTGACAATCTACACTCATTCCAATGTCAGCCTGATTTTGATGTTGTGGTTTTATCATAAATTCTTGTTGTCAATGTAAACCACCTGCACAGTAAAACCCTGTTATTATCCACAATCACAAAGAATGATTTTACAGTACATACACTGGATGTCATTTTGTATTACTATGAGGTTTTGTGAAAGAGCTTCATATTTTAGAGTTGCTTGTAGTAACTGTCATATACAGGATCATGAAATTTTGCAAAAGTGTATTTCAGAAATCATATTGCTGTGGATTCCAGTGGAGAAAGCACTTGCTAGCTTTTGTGATAATCAAGCATGAGAATCTGTTATTGTAACAGATATAACAGTGTACCTAAAAATGTACTGCCGGTGACATACAAACCTTTTTTTTTAAAAGGGCTTACCTCCATGCACATACCTGTGTGCCCTGTGTTGGTGGAGAAACGATGAATTGCAGGATCAGTATCCTGACTTCCAAAATATCTGAACAATCAGAATTTTAAATTCTGAAACAGTGAGGACTTTGGGCAGCCAGCACCATCAAAAAGCCACATCCTGAATAATCAAAGATAAGGACAGGTAAAGACCTGAATTCAGCTAGGCTGCCAGAAGGTGAGAACAAGCCCAGCAGGTTTATAAGAATGACCAGGAGTAGTTGTTCTCAATAGCAACATATAGGCAGAGTGAGAAGCATTCCTCATGTCACACACGTCACATATCACACACTTGTCACGCACATCACACACACCTCACACTTCACACACTTGTCACACACGTCACACGTGTCACACTCGTCTCACACGTCACACATGCGTCACCCACGTCATACACGTCACACACACAACACCTGTCACAAACACGTCACAGATCACACACATTTCACATGTCACTTATGTCACACGTGTCACACTTGTCACACACATAAGCTGAGGGTAGATTTCGTGGGGTTAGTGAAATAAATCTTAGGAGAAAGCAGCTGGCTTGCTTGTTGCAAACAGCAAGCAGGAGGAAAGACCAAGGAGCTGGGCAGGTACTTGGAAACTGAGCAGGTATTGTAAGAAGAAAGCCCACAAACAACAAAAGAGTAGAGAGACTAAACCAGAGATGCAGATAAGAAGAAAGAGCAACATTGCCAAGTTTTTTCCTGCATTGTGTAACAAGGAAATGTCTGAGGCAGAATTAAAAACAAAAAACAAAACACACACAGATTTGGAGCAGAAATAAGAAAACAATATCAAGAAATTCTTATCTGACCCATTAAATCTTGACTGATCCCTGATGATAGAAAAAAAGTGTCGTATTTAGGGGTATGGCACTTACCTGAAAGAAAAATAGAAAAATACTGCCTGAAACTAATATTATTATTTAACATTGTGGAGAATGTAAATAATTTTAAAATAAATTTTAAAACACAGGAATTTGATTATCCTGCAATAAAAGATAGTGCAACATAGCAATACGTATATTGTCTTATAATGTTGTACCTGTAGGTACAAATGCTACCGAGCTTCAGAAAAGAAACTTAGATCTGTATCTGCTATTGCTACTAAAAGGTTGGGTTGGTGGGTTTCTTTTGCCATTAGATTTTAAATCTCTGCAATGACCAGTGTATAGACTTGAATGCCTGAACCATCTTGGACAGCTGCAGTTATGTTGCTGTAGCAGTGGGTGCAATGCCAAACTGGCTCTATCTATCTTTGGGGGCCTTGAATGGCCCCCAGCTCAGTACATACTTTCCCCTTTGTAGAGGTACCCACCTCTCATGGGACCTTTCCAGCAAGCCTCTCTGGGGCTGCTTCTTAAGGATTCTCAAACGCTTACAGCTCTACAGTGAGCATTTTATTACTCTTGTCTTCCAGCTGTAGGGATTTCTCCCTTATCTTACTGATGAAAGGTAGCCCATCTCCACAGCTGTTATTTCAGCTGCCTTACCTAAAAGTGAGGAGTGCCAAGGGTATGACACCCTTGTTCATACCTTGAGATCAGACACTGGCCCCGCATATGTAACCACACACTTAAATTTAGATGTCATAATCTGGAGCTGAGTCTCCCCAGTGCTAATTTCACTGTTACTCTATAGCCTCTGTTTTCCATCTCAGTTGGTGGCTGCCAGCATCAATCAATGGTGAAGTGCTGATAATGCTGACAGCTTCTCAATGAAGTGCTCTGGCATGTGATACCATGCTAGTAGCCTGCCATTTCCCCCTAGTACCACAAAAGCTCAGACATCTGCTCCCAGACCTGCTGAACTCTACGTCTCCACAACAGTAAGGAGTATGGGATGTACCTGCATAGTCAACGTTGTAGTAGATATCCCTACTTGAGAATGTAGATTAATCATTCTTTAAGCAGCTGAAGAAAGCATGAACATCACAGACCGTGGTGATCATACATGGCTCTGATCATCCCAGTATCTGCTAGAAGGGCAATGTGGCACAAACAATCCATGAGATTTCTGTACTGTATTGAAAACTCTTTCTTGATGCAGGTGATCAATAAACCAATGAATGTTGAACCTGCTAGTCAAAAAACAAGGAAGATCTAATTGAAGATCTGAAGGTTGAGGGCAGCCTTGGCTGCAGCAACTGTGAAACTGGAGTTTTAAGATCCTGAGAGAAGTGAGAAAGATAAACAGCATAATTACAGCCCTGGACTTCAGAAGAGCAGATTTAGGTCTGTTCAGAGAGGCTTTCATGGGAAATTGCTGCATGGCAAAAGGCCCCAGGAGAGCTGTCTGATCTTCAAGGGCAGCCTCCTCAGACAGCAAGAATAGTGCACAATGTTCAAAAAGTTGAGCAAGCATGGCAGAAGGCCAGCATGGATGAACATGAAGCTCCTGCCTGAGCTCAAGCACAGAAAGTACACAGAAGGTGGAAGCGGGGACAGACTAGTTGGGAGGAATGAACAGACGCTGTTCAAGCATGTGGGAATACAGTTAGGAAAGCTAAAGAGCAACTCAAGTTGAAACTAGCAAGGGAGGCAAAGGGAAACAAGGAAGTTCTCTGTAAGTACACCAGAAAGAAGACCAATGAGAACGTGGCCTTATTGCTCAGTGGAGCAGGGAGCGTTGTGACAAGGGACATGGAAAAGGCTCAGGTATTCCATATGGGTTTTTTTCCTCAGTTTTCCTTGATAAGGTCTGCCCTCTGCCTTCCCAGGTCTCTGAGCCTTGCAGCAGTCTGTAGGTATGAAGCTGTACCCACAGTAGGAGAAGATAGAATGGGGACCACTTAACCCACTTAGACATTCAGATAGGACCAGATGGCATGCACCTGAGGGTGCTGG